AATTAGACCGTTTAAATCCTTTTGTTACCAACTTTAGATCAATTTCTTCTGCCAGTAACTTAACAACCTTAAATCTTTTTATCAAAGCTGATCATGGCTTAGACCAACATATATACAATGCACTTACAGCATCACAAGTTGCTGCAGTACAGATAGAAGGTAATAACCCTATAAATCATTCCAAACGTGATATAGTTGTATGATTGAAATTTCAAGGTTTATAATGAGTATTTGAATTAAGTGGTTGTTACAAGCCAATGCAATAACCACTACTTTTTCTTAGGAGATATTACAGTTGGTACTCAGAAATATTACAAAATACATCATAAAAAAAATTACTATAAAACAATATTACTTATACAAATTGCATTTTTGAGAATCTTTTTTTACACTGCTTTTTCATAGTGGTCGGCTTTTACAACAATACATTATTAATAATTACATAAAAATCGAATCAGTATGTCTTAATTACTTATATTTTAACTAAAATAAAATTCGTAAAGAATATTATCAAGGATTACAAGATTCTGTTTAATCAGGATTAGTTAATATATCTGAAATAGGACATCATATCATTTTACCTTCGTCCTTTATGGGTGGTCCTAGAGATATATACCAATGCTACCAAGATGCTATGGCATTAGTACAAACTTATAGAAAGCCAGATATATTTATTACTTTCATATGCAATCCTTTTGGCTTGAAATCACTTCAGAACTCTTACTAATGCAAACACCACAGGACAGACCAGACCTCACAGATAAAATTCTTAGAACTAATTTATTTGACAAAACTTTTATTTTTTTATTTTTTTTTAAATATTAATGGTGAGGCCATGCCTTTAACTTTATTGAAATTTAATTGAAGTTTTTACAAAGAAAAGCTTACTTTTAAATTACATATGAAGAATAAAGACTCAGACATATAATCTGCGGCCTAAACCAACAAGAGTGGCCAAGGCTCACCTAGATTTGGATATTAGTAATGATATGTGAGAGGGGAATATGGTATTTAATCCATTGAGTAGTCCAGAGATCAATTTTAATAATCATTTGTGGTACTGAGATAGGAGGTAGACTAGAAGAAGAACTATGAGTTAAATTTGTAATAGGTATATTTTGAGACTGGGAACGTGAGATGCAATATGGAATCCATATTTGTTTGTATATTTGTTGATTTAAATGAAGAAGAACTTTGATAGAAAGAGAAGTAGCTGTACGGTAAGGGATAGAAGTATTATGAATAGTAGAAATAAGATCGATAGGAACTAGACCAGATAAAGTAGAAATAAGAGATGGTATGTGTGAAAAGTTGTGCAGTTTAAAGCAATTAAGTGTAAGGATTTCTTGGTGTAGATTAGAAACAAGGTTGGAAGGCATGTCAAGAGCAGTAGTATTTAAGATGCAATTAAGAGAATTTGAGATTAATTGATAAATTATTTGAGTAGAAGGACAAAGAATCCAGTGTAGTGAAGAACTAGTTTGATTGCATTGGTGACAAAGAGAGGAGTAGGAGGGGTTACGCTTGTGGAGAGTATGAGGAACAGGTAATTCATCTAAGAGAATTTTAACACGGAAGGTTTTTAGAGTAGAGGAGTGGAAACTATGAGCAAAGTTGGAAACTTTTTGATTATTATTGATATAAAGCCAAGTGGCTTCCCAGTTGATATTAGAGACAATAGTAGACCATTGTTGGAAACGATGTTGGAATGTCCAAAGTGTCATAATGTGAGCTTGACAGATAGTACGAATAGAGCGTCGGATGGGAATCTCAATAGGGAATTGGTCAATAAATGGAGTATAGGCAGGGTTGTAAGGATTGTTAGTTAGGAATGTTAAAAAAGGTAGTATCTGATGACTACGGGCAAGTTGGTCAGCGAGATTATTAAATGGGTCATCTTGATGTGCAGTAACTTTGTGAAAAGTGAGCTGAATGTTGTATGAGTTAATGAAGTTGATAAGAGTTTGCCAAATAGAAAAATATGGAGTATGAGTATGAGAGAGTTTGGATGCTGATGAGCGGATACTGTGATACTTGGAGATGACAGATTGTGAGTCTGTAAAGATATGAACAGAACAGTTTCTAGGAGCAGTTATAATTGCTGAGAGTATAGCAAGGATTTCAGCTTTAAAAGAACATGGCCAAAGCTTAACTTGTGCCTGGAATGAGTGAGTAGTTTCAGAATTGTCAACTTGAACCCAGCCTATGCCCATAGAGCATTGGGAGGTACCGAGCTCGATAACAGAGCCATCGGTATAAAATGAAATAGTAGTTAGATTATAATTGGAGTTAGCAATAGACTGTAGTCTATCAGTAAGTTGGTTAAATTGAAAAATGTGAGGTATTTGTTGTAAGTTGATAATAAGTGAAGGAGGTGGTGGAATATGTAAAGGATGTCGGATAGCAACAGAGTATGCGATATCAAGAAAGTTGGCATGTAGGTTAAGAGTTTTGTCAGTATTAATTCGGCAGAATAATTTTGTAGCCAAATTTGTAGGAATAAAAATAGTGCATTTGTTGGCAATTGTATTGGAATTGAGTTGGCATCCAGAACATAGTGTAGTAGTAGAGGGGGGAGTAGGATATAAATTTGAAAACTGGGACTGATATGAGCAGTGCCAGTGAGTAATAAGAGTATGGCCAGTAGGTGTATTATGCCTTCTGGCCTTGCCGATAATTATTTGATCATTAAAGACAGTAAGTAACCAGGGTTTGGTATTGGAGGTAAAGTGACCAGTAGTATAAGAAAAGTAGTTTGTTTGAGGTAAGTTAAAGTGATTATGTAGAGTGCGTTGGTGAGAATTGCTTGTTGTAATGTCCTCAAGAGTAGTGAACCATTGAGGTACAACACCTTTAGGGAGCTTGTTTAGTCTGGGAGAGATATGTTGCCAGTGTAATAAGCATGAATTGTCATATGTAGTAAGCTGATCAAGAAAGAGTAATTTGTGATATCTGAGTTGTTTTTTGAAAATGAAATATTTGGGGTGGGAGGAGAGAAGAGACTCAAGAGAGATAGCTCCGTCATTTAGAGTAAATGGAATATTGTAAGTTGGGTTAGTAGAAAATGTCCAGCCGATGTGTTTGATAAGCTGAATAATTTTGAAGTTCGTAGTTAGACGGTTGGGGCCATCTATAATTGGATTGGGGTGTAGAAAGATACTGGTAGGGGACCAGAGGTTGTTTTGTAGCTGTTGGATTCGGATGCGAGTTGATGAGCCTAATAGGTCAGGATTATTGAGTCGTTTGAGAAGATTAGGAATATGGTGTTGTAATTGAATGTCCCAAATGTGTTTGATGTTGTAAATTTGAGGATGTAAAAGGGTGCTAGAAGGAATTGTACGACAAAGTTTGGCTTTGAGTTTAACAAGGCCAATGTGCTGGGTAAAGATTTTATTGCAGGTAGGTTGGCTAACTACAATGTTTTGAAGACGATATTCAAGAGTAGGGATGATAACTGTATTAATGATATAACGGGCATGTGAATCTGTAATACGTTTAGTTTTAGCGATTTGAATAAGTTGAGAGGATTCAGCAATAAGCAGTTTTGTTTGTTTAGATTGTCTATTGTCTAGAGTGAACCAGCAACCTAAAAATTTAAAGGGTTGTTTAGGAGAATGGAGTGGAAGGAGGTGATTATTGTAAGGGATAGGGATATAGTTAGGTGGAGGATTGTTAGTAACCAGAATAGATTTTGAGGGGTTAACTTGAATGTTGGCCATGGTATAAAATGATTCAGCTATAGATAGTATATTAGAGAGCTCGGTTTGTGATGAAGCAACCCAAAGGGTGTCATCCATATATGCCAGAACAGAGCATTGTTTTTGTAATGAGTTAGATGTTTGAAGTTTGAGATTAGTAGGCCAGGAGGATTGTAATGTGTAGCCAGGTGCTTGTGCATGTATATATGAAATAAGTGGATCATAGTATATGCGCCATAATAAAGGAGTAATGGTTTCACCTTGGTCGATACCATTGTGAACAGGGTAAGAGGAAGTAAGGCCAAGGTTAGTAATAACTTGATTGTGGCGATCAGTCAAGAGGTCAGAAAGAATGTTAATAATAGATGAAGGGAGTGCCAAACGAGAGAGTGAACGTTTGAAAAGAGTAAAGTTGACAGAATCGTATGCTTTACTCATATCTTGTGAAAGTAGCCAAATGTCCTTGTGATTACAAGTAGCATCTTCAATAAGATTATTAAGAATGTGGATAGGAATTGAGGTGCTATTGTTGGGAAGTGCAACATAGTTAAAGGGAGAGAGAATAGGGTTAGAAGAGAATATAGAGCTTAGTCTATTTGTAAGAATTTTGGTATATAGTTTGCGAATATGTTCAACAAGACTAATGGGTCGAGTGAGATTAAGATCACCATCAAAGGAGTTTCGTTTGGGAATAGGATAAATTCTGCTGTGTTTCCATTGCTTGGGAATTCTGTTTTCAAAAAGGCAGCGATTGAAAAGACCAGTAATAGCAGAGGTGCATTCAGGGCTGATGTGTTTAAGCATTTCATAACTAATGCCTGTAGGACCACAGGCTTTGTTGTTAGGAAGCTGACAGAGAGTTTGAGAAACTTCTTCATTTGTAATAGGAGAGTTCAGAGGTTGGTACCAAGTTGGATCGATATGAGAGAGTGGGAGATAGTGTTGTTGCCAGAAATTATCGAAAAGAGTTTCATTAATGGGTCTGTGTGCGGTCCAGTTATGGAAATGTGATTGAACATGCTGTTTAATGAGTAGTGGATCAGTTATAAGCTCATTAGGCAGTTTTATATTTGAAAAATAAACAGGTTGATGGTAGCGGTTAAGAATACTGTTAATAGCTTGTGTGGGATGTGATGTAAGAGTAATGCATCTTTTGTCAGTGGCTTTGTTGATTTGTTGTCGAAGTAAAAGAGAGTTTTCAAGGTGTCGAGCATGGAAAAGTTGTTTCCAAATAGAGTAAGCATGTTGGAGCCATAGTTGAGTGCAAGATGGGTTGGTGGAGTTAAGTGGTTGAAGGTCACATTGTGACTGTTTGTTAATTTGATAAATATTTTGATTAATGTTGGAGATGTCAGAGAATTGTGTAAGTTTCTTGACAAGTTTGATAGTATGACCAAGTTTTTTAAGAGATAGGTGTAGTAAAGTACTGTGAGGTGTGTATTGATGGTTGTAGCTACGTTTTCGAGAAACTTTGTTAGGGATAGTGTGAGTAGCAGAGTAGATAA